GGAAAGATGTAGAGAATTAAGGTATTTTAGCACTACAGTGAGATAACCCATACCATCACCACTGATCCATAGTAATGCATTATACATGCAAGGTAATACTGTAGTTATTTTGTCATGAAAGCACTACTAGAATCCTAAGACCATAAAGCGCACATGCAAACTCTGAGGCTACGTAGGGGGGAGAAAGGAAAGATGTATATGTTTCAAGTATTTTACGCACAATAGAGAGAAAACACATACTACCACCACTGATCCAAAATGATGTTACCATATATCTACGGGTACGTTTTTTATTTCTATGCGGTTGTTAAATTACACATTTTTTAAGAAAGCCAAGCTTCCATCTCCCATGTCATGTCAGACAAAAATATTTTACTGTTAAAGGTTTCCAGACACAGCCCGTTTATTACCAACTTGGAGATGCATCAGTCTCAGATCATATTTGAAAAATTGATTGTCGTAACTATTTAACCAGTTGACCTGTCTTTCTGGAATTGAAAGAAAGCGTCAAACGTTGTGATTGTATTATGACTAAACCAGATAAATTAATAGCATAAACCAAACAGGAAAATACTCCACTTCTAACCCAGTACAGCCTCCATATCATGCAAATATCTATCTTTTCCAATCTGATTAGAAATGTATCCTAATTTATAATCGACTTTAAAAGAAGATAGGACTCCATACACAGCACAGGCTTCAAGTCGAACAATAGCTAATACTTAAATGGACAGTTGAACTTTTTGGACTTGTAACTCACAACATATCATGTATCTGTACATGTTATGGTTGGTAAGCAAAGAGGTAAACGGACAGTTACCTCAATTGCTGCATCAGAGGCCTCAAATGAATCGTAACTAATGAAACCAAAACCCCGGGAATTCCCTGTCTCAGGGTCTCTCATTATCTGGAACAAAAGATAATACATCAGAAGATAACAACAACCACCACCTCTAAATGGCAAGTAAACTATGTGGTCCTAGTAAAATGTAGAGTGCTATATGAACCAATATACGCATAGTTATAGAGAAAAACAATATGTGCATTGTTTAAATGTTTATCATTCAAACTGGTCTAGCATGTTAACATGAATCACTAGCTAAGTAAGGAGGGCAATCATTAATAACACTGCAAACATGAAGGGACCATCTCTTTATACCTCCCACACCCCCTGGAGAAAGAAAAGAAAGGACAAGAGAGAACCTGTAGGAATCAACTTTAAAAGGGCTAGATGTTTGTTTAGAGGATGTACAAATACAATATCTCTAGCAGATTGTTAGGATTTAAAAACATAATCTGAAGCATGGACACAAAATAAACGAGACTTGATCAGCACGGATGGCTAGGAAGTCCAGACACGCATCTTTAAAAGCAGCAAAATGAAGAATCATGAATCATATGAAAGTAGAAGGGAAATGACTTTAACCTTTGGATTTGAGACAATAACTCCAAAAGCACTAAAAGTGTCATATAGAAGCTTCTCATCAACATCCTGCATATAAAACAGAAGTGGATTTATAAGCTAACAGAACCGCTAGCATGAGCAGTGTGATAATATGCAGGTGATGTTATACACCTAAATAAAAGCTGATATCCTATGTCTACGTCCAGACACTTTGGATGAGAATAGCACAAGAGTTTGTAAAATACTGTCAAAGAAATCTACTGCTTACAGGATCAAGGTTCCCAACAAACAAGTTGGCACCAACATCAACACTCTTTTTATCTTGTGATGCCTGTACGAGGATAACTTATTAGATTAAATAAAATGTGAAATATGTGGGACAATTCATTATAGAAAGGGGAGATGCATCAATGGCATATCATTACCTTATTCACTCGTATTGGTTTCCCATAAAGTTTAATCATATTCAGTACCTTTATTGCCTGCATTGGTAGTGCTTTAGAGAGAGAAAGCAAGGAATAGCAAAAACCAATTCCATGGTAAAAGAATATAACGGATAACAAGACACTAGCAAGTAAAAAGAGAGTAACAAGAAAAACAACTAACACATACATAGTCAGCATCTTCTTCACTTCGGAATTCCACAAAGCCATATCCCTGATGAGCATTAGTAACTCTGTCCTTAGGGACATAAACATTGACTGCAACACATAATGATTTATATAGCGAACAAGTGAGATTTAAAAGAATCTAAATTTCCCAAAAGATTGGGGGAAAAAAAAGGGATAAGAAGATTCTGATTAAAAATTTAAAACCAAAGTGGATGTTAAACAAAATTTATCAAGAAGCTCCACTGATTTACTCCCTTTTTATGGGGACAGGGGGTTCAGTTAAAAATTTAAGACATACCTACTGGACCTGCTTGAACAAACAACTCCCATAACAACTCTTCAGAAACCTGAATCCAGGAAAAAATTCTCAATTTTCTGAGTAATTCAACCCTGAAAGCAAAGCAAAACAAAACAAAACAAAAGCAGAAAAGCAGGGAGGAGTTTGTGGAAGGGACACCAGCATCAAATTGGAGCATCAACTGGAAAAAGATGTTTCGTGTATAGGAGGAAGCAGTCATACTAAGGTTAATGATATTGGAAGGGAAAATTACCAAATCTGTCAGCATAAAAGGAAAGAGAAGCAGAATCTATTGCGGGAGATAGTTATTCGCACCATAGAAAATGTTCAGCATTAACGGTGGCAAATGGACATGTTGGGTTGATTTTGGGCGGGGTTAAAACTGAGTTAACCCATTTTATACTTTCGAGAAGCTAAGGGAAAAGCTTTTACATGTATTCCTAGTGTCACACTGAGCCTTCGCGTTGTGTTTGAATCAACTGCTTTTCTATTTAGGTAAGGAAGCTCGAATAGAGTGGTGGAGAAGGAAAAAACCCTAGGGGATTAGAAGGAAGGAAAGAGATACCTGAGGGTCGAGGTTGCCGACATAGGCGGTGGCATCTTGGTTGCGCTCCGCTGCGTGTTGGCCCAGCAGGTTTGCTCCAACTCCCGGAGCTATACGAGTCGTCATACTCAGAAAGAAGAATGCTCTGTGCAAGGAAAAACTAAACAACACAAAGGCCCCAAAAATAAAGGGCCAAATATCCAAAATCTCAATCGGGTCGGGTTATAAGTACGGCTTCTGCTATCCTCCAGAATAACGGCTTGGGCCCACTCCGGCCGGCGAGATAGGCTTACGTGAGAAGGCCGATCAATTGCTTTCCGACTCCGGTTTGTATTCCGACGTCATTTCCGGTATGTTACCGTGTTATGCATTGTATCAGTATACAATGATCGGATAAATTTTATTGTTTGTCGTGTTGTGTTTCAATGTATCGGTTTGTTTCACGTTAATAATAAAATATGATGATTTAAATATTTATTTATATTAATGAAGAAAAAAATTTAATTGATGAATTTTTTTTATATATAATAATACAACAATCATGTAAATGCTGAAAAATATTATTACATTAGCATAATACGTGAATTCAAAATGAAAGAATATCATTAGAACTTACACAAATGATCAATTTAGTCATGTTAGTTAGATAATTATATATTGTAGTTTAAATGTATCTAATATGATGGTATCTTATCGAATACCTCTTTGTAGATGATTTTTTTGTGTGTATGTTTCTTTCTAATGCTTTGGTTGTTGTGCCATAACCAGAACTCTTGTTGTCGATATTAATATCTTTACACAAATTAAAAGGCTATTCTTTAGTTTCTGAAGACTAAAGTTGATTTCTGAATAAACACATACTTAGAAGCACATTGATCATTATCATAATTTCTGCATGTATGACGTTATTGTCAAAACTTATATATACTATATGTGTACTATTACATAAGCTATTCGGCGTATCTATAATTTTCGGTAGCATGACGAGCATATTTTTCTTCAAAATCAACTTATATGCAATGGAAGATCAATTTTAACTCAATCTATTATATATACGGTGACACTAATATACGTAAGAAATAATGAACTTGACAACAAACCTAGATGGTAGAAGGTCATTTGATATTAAGCATTTAAGTATCATTCTTGGTAGTAATTGTTGGTATCGATCATCTTCTGCTGAGTCAAAACTAAATTTTTTTTTATTTTTACCATAAAACTTAGCAATACCTTTATTTAGTTGATCAACACATTCATTTCTGCTAGCTAAGATATCTCTTTAATTTCTATCGTACAAATTATTTTTTAATCTAATGAGAAAAATATTTTTCTTATTAAATGCATTGCTATTACCCTTTGGGTTGATAACCAAGTGTTCTAGAAGAACCAAATCATCTTTTATTGGATGCTCTTTTTCATTTCCGACTGAAAGCAAGAAGTCGTTGAATGTTGGATCTGTTCTTACTTTTATATTTTTTATCATTTGAATCTTTTTCACTTGAGGCCATAAGTATAAATTTGGCAAGCTAGCTTTTACAGTCTTTACTTTCGTCAATTTTGGAACTATTGATAGTACTTGACAAAAATTACCTCTTAAACTGTCACGACCCAAAATCCACTATAGACCGTGATGACGCCCAATGTCACCGTTAGAAAATCCAACAGTGAACTATCTAAATAATTACTCATTTTATTACTTGAAATCATGAGTTTTATTAACTAAAGGAATTTACACATTGAAAATGATAGGTACATACATAATTAGTAAGATATAAAAATAAAAGATGACAATATTATGCAAAACCCATAAACAACAAGTAGATATCCCAAAACTCGGTGTCACAAATGCATGAGCAACTACTAAGAAATACAATACCAATACAATATCTGTCTGAAATGTAAAATAGACAGGATAACATAAATGAATATGAAGGAGACTTTGTGTGCTGCGGATCATAACATGGGATGCAGCTCACCGTAAAGTCTCTGCAATAGGTGCGCCTTTGCGGCCGAAAGACCTCCAAAAATATATACATGCACAATAAGTGCAGAAGTATAGCATGAGTACGTAAATCAAAGTGTACCCAGTAAGTATCTAGCCTAACCCCAGAGAAGTAGTGACAAGGGATCGACATTAGGGGTGGGCATTCGGTACTTCGGTTCGGTATTTAAGAATTTTGGTTCGGTATTTTGGTATTCGATTTATCAATTGTGTATACCAAATACTGTACCAAAGTATTTCGGTATGGTTCGATATTTCTTATTTTGGTTCGGTACGATTTCGGTTTAATAATCTGCCATGCCTAACAATCTGCCATTCTGCGGCAAACAGAATGGAACCATTAGATAAACAAAATGAGAATTGAATCCAAAGGAAAAAGCAGGTAGTAATATGTAACTTTAGTTGTTTGGAACATCAAACAAATTGGTCTTATGAGGTTGAAACTAAAACAATCAAAAACCACATTCAGAATACAAAAGTAGAACTTGCAAAAGAAGCTCCTACAGATTGTAATCTTGCGACTCCCTGAACTACAGCTGAATTACCTTGAATTTCAAAAACAGGTTTCTGCCATTCTACCTAACAAAAGGCGTGTAAGAAACATTCAAATCTGCCTAACAACATGCAGGAACACATACATGGCAGATGCACACCTGATTATCACATTCACAGCAACTACTTGAAAGGGAAAAAAAGTAAATAAATATCACGGCAAGCTAAGATAGTAACAACTACTAACGAGTAGCAACAGAATTAAACACATTGCAACAAAAACAGAGAGGGCATAAACCTGCCAAACAGAATTCGAGTTTACACTAATAGTCTCGAATCAACTTAGTCTTAATTCTTAAATATGGATTTCAGAAAGACGCTCAAGACAATGCCTAATATGCTTTCTTAAACAATACGTGCCACCCCTCTTTGGATGAACATTATAGACTCGACCACAATGCTTGCACTCTACTTTGTGAACTTCTCCATTATCTTCTATCACCTCAAAGTGTTCCCAAATATGAGAGCGTACTTTAGGAGCACGGGGCATGATTGCACTTGAACCTAAAACAAAAAAGATAAATCATAAGTTAGAATATTATTTTTTGATGATAATAGAACAAAACTACAAAAGTATATCACCAAACAAATAGAATATTAAACTTACCACTCAAATTGTAAGCTNTTGCAAGTTGCAACTATACATCAAACAATGCTAGTAGTGCTTCCATTATTTTCCATATCTAAAGATAATTCGACCAAATATGTCATACAAATAAACAAGTATGATATATTATTTTGAACTAAAATACACACAAAATATTAAAGCTTACCAAGCTCGAGTTCCTCAAGATACTCTCAGTCTTCTTCAACACTAATAGGATTCTTCTCTTCTCTAAGCCAATCTTGAACACAAACAAGAGCTTGCACACATTTAGGATTCAATGAACTCCTAAATGAATCAAGAATACGGCCACCGGTGCTAAACGCACATTCCGACGCCGTATTAGAAATTGGAATGGCCAACACATCACGAGCCAACTCCGAAAGAATAGGAAATCTAGGAGCATGTGTTTTCCACCAACTTAAGATATCAAATTCTTCACTAAAAGGCTCTTGTTCTTCACTAATTTATTTATCCAACTCCGATTTAACACCCCCACTTCTATTGTCTTCTTTTTGTTTCTTCAAGTGAAGCTTAGTCATTATTAATGATGCAGTTATAACACTCCCACTAGATGTATTAGATGTGTTATTAGATGAAGTAGAACTAGATGGAGATTAAGGACAAGATCCAGTTGAATACGTTTTTAGATACTCTTCAAACAAAGAATTCATATAAGCATACACCTCAGCATTTATTTTCTTCCCTTTTTCCTCCCCAAAAAATTCTTTAAGTGCAAGGCTAACATATTCAAATTTGTTACGTGGATCCAAGATGGAAGCAATAAAAATTATTTTATTCATCTTTTCAGGCTCACCCTAGTACTTCTTGAACTTTTCTTGCATTCGCTCAGCCATTTTTCTCAAATGCCCATCCTCACTAATTAATCAGATACATCCTCAAAATGAGAATTACAAGTGACATAACGTGAACCTGAAACTTTTTTGATGAGCTCGTGAAATCTTGCAAGAAACTCTATCACATTCCTCACATTCACCCAATCATCAGATTCAAGGGGACTTGCACTACTACCATCTTCACAAAGATAAGAACATACATAAGCAGAAAATCCATCATCAAAAAGATGAAACTTATCAAAGGCCTTTTCAAAGTTTTGTTCTATATCCAACATCAAATAGGTGGAATTCCACCTAGTAGGAACATCAAAACATAATGTTTTGGTACATTCTACCTTTACATGTGCACAACATTGTTTAAACTTTAAGGTCCTTGCAGGCGAAGATCTCACATACCTCACAATATTTCTAACACGTGTGATAGAAGCATCAATTTCTCTCAAACCATCTTGCTGTAACGACCCAGTCGGTTTTGAAAGTAATAGCCCCGATCCCCTATTTATTGTTTCTCCCGCATCTATTTCTGCTATTGTGATTTGTCGGGAGGCACACTTAGTCCCTAAAACGGGAGCTTAAGCCTTAGGATTTGGACCTTAGTCGGAACTATATAAAGACGACTCCGGAATGAAATTCCGTTGGTTCCGTTAGGTGATTTTGGACTTAGGAGCGTATCCGGATTGTGTTTTGGAGGTCCGTAGCTTATTTAGGATTGAAATAGCGAAAGTCGAATTTTTGGAGTTTTGGGCCGATAGTGGAATTTTTTATATCGGGGTCATTTTTTGATTCCGGAAGTTGAAGTAGGTCTGTAATATCGAATATGACTTGTGTGCAAAATTTGGGGTCAATCGGACGTGGTTTGGTTGGTTTCGGCGTCGGTTGTCGAATTTGGAAGTTTCAAGTTCTTTAAGTTTGAATCAGAGGATGAATTGTGATTTTAGCGTTGTTTGATGTGGTTTGAGGGCTCGACTAAGTTTGTATGGTGTTTTAGGATTTGTTGCTATGTTTTGTTGAGGTCCCGGAAGCCTCGGGTGAGTTTCGGGTCCTTAACGGGTGAAAGTTTGGACTTAGAAGAATTTTTGAGTTGCTGGTTCTGGTGTTTTCGCACCTGCGGTGGGAAGTCCGCAGGTGCGGCCTTGCAGAAGAGAGGCTGGGATCGCAGGTGCATTTTTAGGCCGGGGAGTAAGTGGTCGCAGATGCGACGAGTGAGCCGCAAGAGCGGAGTCGCATCTGCGGAAAGGAAGCCGCAGATGCGGAGATGAGAAAGACCCAAGTTTCCGTAGAAGCGGATGATTGAGCGCAGAAGCACATCCGCATGTGCGGACTTAGGCGCGCAGGTGCGGGCTATGGAGTTTTATGAAAACTCGCAGGTGCGGCATCCTAGCCGCAGAAGCGGTACCGCATGTGCGGTT